CACACACACACACACACACACACACACACACACACACATAATATACACACAGACAAACACGTCCCGGGTGGAGAATCCCCGTGAATCAACCCCTGACCTTGAACTCCACTAAGGTCGAGTGACTGGAGGCGGACCACAGCGACCTTGTGGACTGTGTAGACGTCCTCTTTCCCGCCGTCGTGTGGGGCCGGTTCGCCATCTTGACTTTGCGGAGTACGTCATCGTTGACGTCACTCAGGCTGTCGTCTGCAGCACCGTTGCAGTTCTCGTCATTGTCGTTGTTGTCAGGAAGATCATCGCCGATAGGCTCGGGAAGTGACGTGTTGTTTTGTTCCAGCGAGCGGGCGTACTCGTTCCCATTGTTGAGGAAACTCATGTAGGAGCTGGGGGGAGGAGGGGAGGAGGGGGGCATGTCATATAGGAGCTGGGAGGAGGAGGAGGAGGAGGAGGAGGAGGAGGGGAGGAGGAGGAGAGGGGGCATTTCTTGTAGAAAGTAAGTCTACGCGTCCACCAAAATAAGATCACTTCTAGGCCAGGCTAATGTACGACGTTTTTGCATGGTGTAGAACCGACTCAAGACGATACACGTCCACGGCATCAGACCAGCTAGGCCTAGATCTATATCTAACCTATTTTTTGCCCAGTGTTTCATGATTACGAGAACAACAGACACAGGCACAGGCGATTTATTTATTTATTTACTTTTTCATAATTGTTTCTGGTGTTTAGATCTATTGAGACATAAGTATAGGTCTAGACAAGGACTGCCTTTTTTGTATTATTACGCAGAGGCTAGAGTCTAGGTAAAGCGCGAAGGCTAGGTCTAACTTATTTTTAAGCTCTCTCGAGAATGAACTACAACGGAGAGCTGCTGCTTTTTCTGTCCTAATCCTTACAATCGTCATGTTCCTCTATTTCTTTAGTACGTTTGTCACACTCTTGTGACCCGTTATTTCCGGGGTGCCTTGATAGTCGAAGTGGACTTTGTGCTGTTGAAGCTGGGGAGTTGAGCAGAGTAAGCCTGATTACCTGTATGGATTCTCTGCTGACATCCACCCCTTGGCGCTCTTATGACCTGATGCAATTGCGAGCGCCGTAAAAACTCTACTAAAACTAAACTAAAGACAAGTCCTCACTTTGTATCTGACGTCACCAAAGGTTTCCCAGTTTTCCTGGACACTGTCGGCTTTGCTTTCACCAACTTTTTGAGAACATTCAGAGATCCCTGAAACATTTGAAAAATGATTTTAATTTTTGACGTATTATAAAAAAAACTGAATTTAAAACTTATCACAGACATACAAGTGCGTACACCACAAACACATGCGCCCGCGCACTCACATAGACATACATGCACGCACACGCACACATACGCACACACACACACAACTATTTTTGAATGTCACATTCGTTAAAAACGATTTTATTTCCAAGGTCACAAATCGAATTAGGTTTAAGTTCGGTTGTACTGTGCCAAAGTAATAGCTTTTGCCCCACTCGTGAAAGAAAAATCGGATTGGCTCTGACTGAACCGAATAAATCAAATTATAAGAGTGCACTGGGCATAACGTGCACACTTGTTCAGTCCTGACTCTTTAGTTATTTCCCCTGTTTACCATACCTGGCAAACCAGCGAGCCCATACGGCGATGCAAAACTTCAAGTTCTTTCCTCAATGACTGGACATAAGATGACTGAACACGACATGATGGGACATAAAATGACTGGACATATTATCATGACTGGACTGAACACAACATGACTGGATATAACGTGACTGAACATAAGATGACTGGACTTGACATAACTGGACATGAGATGACTGGACATAACATAACTGGAGATAAGATGAATGGACATAACATAACTGGACATGAGATGACTGGACATGACATGACTCACCGACTTGACAATGACCAGCCAATCAGAGTAGTTGCTGTCTCGAGATATGATAGAACCTCTCCTGGAACACACAACAAGAACGGTACCGTCAAAATATAGCTTTAACCGCCCCCTCCCCCGCACACACACACACACACACACACACACACACACTCGCGCACGCGCACAAACACACACACACACACACACACACACACATACACACACACACACTCGCGCGCGCGCACAAATACGCACGCTCACA